AGTTTGCTTGGAAATGTTGATGCTGGAGACTGTTATCAGAAGAAACTGTGTAACGTAGGATTTATATTGGCTCAGAAATGCATTGCCATTAATTGGAAGGTTGGTTATCCTCCCACAATGGATGGCAGAAATGTAAAGTTATGTATCACTAGATTAGATTTATTACAAGATTAAGGGTATACTGTGCAACTTTCATAAGATATGGATGCCTTATATGGAATACTGTATGACAAAAGGAGTCTGTATTGAAAACATGCCCACATCAGGGGAGATAACCATTTAGGCAAATCCTAGCTGCTGGGCTGCTCAGTCCTGGCCCTGGAGGTCTGCCATACTGTTGGTTGTCACTCTGGCCTTGGCCTAACACACCTGAAACCAATAATGAATGTTTCGCTAAGATCCTAAAGCTGAGTGCGGTGTGTTGGGTTGGGGCACTGCAGGGCTGTAGACCCCTAGGGGCAGGACGGGGTGACCCAGCTATGTGTGCAAAAAGAGCTCTACAGTACTATTAGGCCTATGATATGAATTATATGGATGATGTACTGTTTCTGTGTGTTAATGTGTAGGTGTATATGTGTTTTTATTAAATGTTTGTTTTCCAAACCTTTCCCTTGAGACATAAAAAAAGATGGGAAGGAAGTTGTTGGGGAGAGAGTTGAGTTATTGACTAGACTGGTGGGGGTCGGGCGTGAAAGCAGCTCAGGCTGGCTGGGCGGTCTGGCAAATATTTGATATAGAGGATGTCTTAATAAAGACAATCCAAAATTAAGTCTTTGTACTTTATTTGTAAGAGTTAATTTGTTAGGCTATTGGTTAAACCTCTTAAGGATCCTACCCTTTTTTTCAATTTTTGCCTAAAATGACATACCCAAATCTAACTGCCTGTAGCTCAGGACCTGAAGCAAGGATATGCATATTCTTGGTACCATTTGAAAGGAAACACTTTGAAGTTTGTGGAAATGTGAAATCAATGTAGGAGAATGGAGCCAGAGACAGCAGGGGGTCAAACTGTAGAACCCAGTTCTTACATTTGAATATAAAAATGGATTTTATCAAACAAAACTATACTACATTTTATCTCTGGGACCCTCAGGATGACAAATCAGAGCAAGATTACTGAATTTAAGTACATTATTTACCTTCAGAGGTGAATGTATCAAACCAGTTGCTGTGACAAAAGTGTTTAGTTGTTGTGCACTCTCCTCGAACCATAGCATGGTCTTCTTTTTGCTGTAATAGCTACTGTAAATTGGACACTGCAGTTAGATTAACAAGAATTTAAGCTTTCTGCCCATGTCCCGGAAAGTTGGCATTGTTTACAACGCCATTCTAGTCACATATCGCATATTGAGCAGCAACCGTCCCGGTATAGGGACACCGATCCCGTAGAGGTTAAAGGTGCAACACAAAATTGATTATTGAATTATCATTGATCTAGTTCAGTCTTATCAATCACTTAAATATATTTAATAATGATATTTTACCTAGCTTGATGACTGTGTGTCACACCCTGGCTCTGGGGACTCTATATGTTGAGCCAGGGTGTGTACATTCTATGTGTTTATGTTCTGTGTGGGAGTTCTAGTTGTGGTATTTCTATGTTGGCCCGAGTGGCTCCCAATCAGAGGCAACGAGTGTCAGCTGTGGCTGGTTGTCTCTGATTGGGAGCCATATTTAAACAGTCTGTTTCCCTTAGTGTTTGTGGGATCTTGTTCCGTTTTGGTTTGTTGCCGTGTCGGTTGTGTTATACCGAGGACGTCACGTTTTCGTTTTGTTGTTTTGTTCGTGCATTCATTATATAAATAAATATGTTCGTTCATCACGCTGCACCTTGGTCTACTCTCTATAACGATCGTGACAGAAGATCCCACCAACACAGGACCAAGCAGCGTGTCCAGGAGCAGGCAGCCTGGACGTGGGAGCAGATCTTGGACGGGCAGGGGTCCTGGACCTGGGAGGAAATCCAGGCCGGGATGGATCGCCGGCCATGGAAGGAGACGGTAGAGGCGCGACGGAGAGAGATGCAACGGCGTAATCAGTGTCGTCGTCGGACGGACGAGAGGCAACCCCAAAAAAAATTTAGGGGGGGGCACAGGGCATGGACGACGGGGCTGACAGAGGCAGACAAGGGGCGAATTCAGAAGGCCACCAGGTTACGGGAGCCATTGGTGAGAAGAGGGAAGGAAGATGTAGAGGCGCGGCGAGAGGTACTGAGGTGTATTGCCAGTCCGGTCCGGCCCGTTCCTGATCCCCGTTTAAGGCCAGTGGTGTGTGTTCCCAGTACGGTCCGGCCTGTTCCTGCCCCTCGCACCAAGTGTACGGTGCGCGTCGCCAGCCCGGCCCGGCCTGTTCCTGCTTCTCGCACCAAGTGTACGGTGCGCGTCGCCAGCCCGGCCCGGCCTGTTCCTGCCCCTCGCACCAAGTGTACGGTGCGCGTCGCCAGCCCGGCCCGGCCTGTTCCTGCCCCTCGCACCAAGCCTACGGTGCGTGTCGCCAGCCCGGCCCGGCCTGTTCCTGCTCCACGCACCAAGCCTACGGTGCGCGTCGCCAGCCCGGCCCGGCCTGTTCCTGCCACTCGCACCAAGCCTACGGTGCGCGTCGCCAGCCCGGCCCGGCCTGTTCCTGCTACTCGCACCAAGCCTACGGTGCGCGTCGCCAGCCCGGCCCGGCCTGTTCCTGCTCCCCGCACCAAGCCTACGGTGCGCGTCGCCAGCCCGGCCCGGCCTGTTCCTGCCACTCGCACCAAGCCTACGGTGCGCGTCGCCAGCCCGGCCCGGCCTGTTCCTGCCACTCGCACCAAGCCTACGGTGCGCGTCGCCAGCCCGGCCCGGCCTGTTCCTGCCACTCGCACCAAGCCTACGGTGCGCGTCGCCAGCCCGGCCCGGCCTGTTCCTGCCACTCGCACCAAGCCAGGGGTGCGAGTCGTCAGCCCGGCCCGGCCTGTCCTGCCACTCGCACCAAGCCAGGGGTGCGAGTCGTCAGCCCGGTAAGGCCCGTTGCTGCTCCACGCACCAAACCAGGGGTGCGCATCGTCAGCCCGGTCCGGCCCGTTCCTGCTCCACGCACCAAGCCAAGAGTGCGCATCGTCAGTCCGATCCGGTCCGTTCCTGCTCCACGCACCAAGCCAGGGGTGTGTGTCGTCAGTCCGGTCTGGCCCGTTCCTGCTCCACGCACCAAGCCAGGGGTGTGCGTCGTCAGTCCGGCACAACCCGTGCCTGGGTCACCGGTGCCTGGTCAGGTACCGGTCAGCTGCTCCACACCGGAGCTGAAGCAATCCGCTCCTACGATGTCCAGTCCAGCTCCAGCCAGCGGGGCCAGACCGGACCAGGGGCGCTACGGGGGGAGTATTGAAGGGTGGTGGTCGAGCCGGAACCGCCTCCGAGGAGGAATGCCCACCCAGCCCTCCCCTGGTTTGTCTATGTTGAGGCGCGGTCGCAGTCCGCGCCTTTGGGGGGGGGGGGGGTACTGTCACACCCTGGCTCTGGGGACTCTATATGTTGAGCCAGGGTGTGTAAATTCTATGTGTTTATGTTCTGTGTGGGAGTTCTAGTTGTGGTATTTCTATGTTGGCCCGAGTGGCTCCCAATCAGAGGCAACGAGTGTCAGCTGTGGCTGGTTGTCTCTGATTGGGAGCCATATTTAAACAGTCTGTTTCCCTTAGTGTTTGTGGGATCTTGTTCCGTTTTGGTTTGTTGCCGTGTCGGTTGTGTTATACCGAGGACGTCACGTTTTCGTTTTGTTGTTTTGTTCGTGCATTCATTATATAAATAAATATGTTCGTTCATCACGCTGCGCCTTGGTCTACTCTCTATAACGATCGTGACACTGTGGGCATTTTTGCTTACTTTTTGTTTTAAGTAGATACGGCTAGAAGGGCCATGGTTCATATTCAATTGTGTAGAAATGCAAGAAATTAGCTTTAGATGTCAAATTATCCAATGGATTATGATAATTCTCCTATTTTTATTTGCTCCAATGCTGTTTCAGTCATGAAGAGGAATAACATTGCAACAGTTTCTGATTAATAAACAATGCCATGCTGGTGGGTGGTAACGTTCAAATAAAACCCCTGAAATGAAACGTAGGCTGAAAATAATTTGTATTTCATATCATAGGAAAAGACACCGCAGTCACATGGATTTGTACGAAGTGGGCAGTTAGGATTTGTTATTTCAAGCCCAAATATATCATACTTTGACTAAAACGAGAAATGATTGACTTAAATCCTTGTGCATCATCATAAGCTCTGGCCATCGTCTGTCAGCTCGAAAAAGTGGATTTCTACTGGTGTTGGCATTTAAAAAGGCAATTAAAATAGTAAGGCCTTGTTAGTCATCGTATATCATGTCTACGCACGTAAGATAAACCTATAGATTGTATCTGTGAAAAATGTTCGATGTTGAAGTGCTGCTTAAAAAGAATGATGTACTCTTGAGAGTTTTCTCTGCATTAGGGTAAGGGTCAAAACACAATATCCACTTCTTCTTTTTAAGAAAATGGACACCTGCCTGCTGGGCTGCGTCACTTCCTGTGCCACTTTTGTTTTCTATTTGGTTTGTGATTTTAATGAACATGATTTTTAATGTAAAAGATAAATGGAAAGCAAAGTATGCAGAACTGAATATGGATTGAATATGGATATGGATTGATGTTTGGAACTTGATTGCAATGATTTATGGACAAAACCATGCCTTAAGAATACATCTTTGAAAATTGTAATTTGTGTTTGCCTCTGCCTGCTCAACCCAGATCCAAAATAATCTGTACATTTTCCACCATTGGACATATTTACAGTGTAAATGCACCAATTGACTGAGATGGAAACACACATCAATATATCTTTATTTTGAAATACACTGATAAATCCAAACAATTTACGTATACTTTTTATTGAAGTGAAAATAAAAAGGTTTCTCTAATAGGGGTGGAGTTATTAAACTTTGTCATAGTCAGGAGGGCCTATAGCCTTGGAGGACAGACAACACACCACATCACATGAATCATGGATCAATAGGTCGCTTGATGAAGCTGTCTAGGTTGGTGCCCTTGTACCGGTGCTTGAAGGAGTCGTAGACCCCACGTCTTTTGCTCTCGGAGGCGACCTTGGCACATATCAGGCTGTGTTTCTCCAGGCGGTCAGGATGAAAGCGCCGGCCGCAGATATCACACTCTTTCCGGTTGGAGTCGGCCACGCTCATCGAAAGCTGTAACCCTCCTTGCTGTTTCGCCTCCACTACTTCACACCTCTTCTTCTCCTGAACTGGATTCAAAGTCACCTGGAGGAAACAGGTGAACACTGTTACATGTCATGTGATATCTGTCATTTTGCATACTATTCTTCAATATAAATATATCGCAATACAAAAGAACCTGATTCAAAGTCACCTTATCTACCTTCTCTATCATGGCGGCCAACTTGGTCTTACTTGAGCTCTCTAGCCACACCTTGCTCGCCCTGGGGACTGCTGTGGGGGGCACAGGGAGTCTGGAGGGCGAATGCGGGGAAAACTTAGCCTTCTGCTGAACTGAAGTAGCTATACTGAGGCCATGTTGTGAGCACAAATCCTCTAGTTGACTATTTCTCTTCGTCATCCAGATGATCACCTGGTTCATCTGCTCCTTCTCCTCCCTCAGTTTCAGGTATTCCCGCAGTAATTCCTCATAACTTTCCGGAGGCTCCATTGCAAGCCAATTGCTTTGATACCACTTTCTACATTGTTTTAGAGGTGCTGCTATATTTTCAGTAGTCAGCCATCAAATGGTTCAAACGGAATGTTCAAGGTGCACTGATCAATTCTGACATCATGGCTCACATTGTTGTGCTCATAGAATTAGGAATTAGAATACTTAAGTATTCTAATTCCTCATTCTAGATGCGGTAAAGAGGTCAATGGAACCCGACCAAAACAATGGAAATGCCATGGAAATGCATGGGAGAAAGATACTGTGGGGGAAAGATCCCAAATCTCCTACTAGCCCCCCAGCAACATTGCCTACATTTAGGGTATTGTTTATATTTTTATTTCACACTATGTTGAAGTACAAATTGGAGTATAATGCTTGTCTGGATGTCAACCCCAATACATGTTCATGTCATCGTCACCAATCATTTGCATTAAAGTTAAATACAACGGACTACTACCACCGATTTCTGTATGCTAGCTGTGCTAGCTATGCTACAAGCTTATTAGAACGGGAGTTAGCATCTAAACCTGAAAAGGAAAGGAACGGGGATACCTAGTCAGTTGCACAACTGAATGCATTCAACCGAAAAGTGTGGGACAACTTCTAAATGTGATGATTCTTCTATCCCCCACAGTCTGCGTTCCATTGACCTCTTTACCGCATCTATTAGTAATTGAATAGGATCTCTATGGTTGTGCTGTGTCAATGTCACAATGGCCCAGAACTGCCCAGAGTTGATTCCACTCATTTCAGAATGTTTAGGTTGTCACTGACTGATGTAATGGATCATACGGAGGTTGATTATTATTTATTTTTTTCAGCTTGGTTTAATTATAATGCACTACCGATATATAAAAGCACTCTGTATCTCAAATGATGGAAAATGGTATATAACAATTCTTGTTACATCTCAATCTATATGATATGTTCCCTTAAATCAACTATAATGTTTGCCTCTCATCCAGTTACTACTGTGTACCCATTCACCAAAGTGTATAAGACTTTGAGTTCTATGATCTATATATAAAAAAATACAGTCACTCAAAACCAGCTATCTCTATATATACATTTTGATTGATTGTTTGCCAGACAGAGAGACATCTCTAAAGGTTATTACTATAATTTGAAAATATACCCTCTAGTGGAAATTCTGAAAAAGTCAGATGCCTTACATAGGGAAGACTGTGGTTGGTTGTCATACTTTTTACTCTTGTGTCTATTCCTCAGCACTAGTATATCTTACAACACTCTTTTCAATATTAGAAGAAAGACAAATGTTGAAATGGGGACCATTTCTATCCTCATATCTTATTCCAAAATGGAGTTATAAGCCATCAAACACACTCTGTCCACTTGTGACAACCAGCCCTAGCGCAGGGTTGGTTATCACACAGTATGGGGTTGGTTGTCACAATGTTTGCTAGAAACGTATTCCTTTTGAAAAAGGAAATGAAGCAATATAGCATACAGAGTTTTAAAAATGGCTAAGCCTTGATCTAATGATATTCCTAACAAAATAACGCATTTTGTGCCTTGAGACAACCAACCCCGATATCCCCAATAGGAGTTATTCATGTGAATATGACCTTATCTGGATGATTGAAATCTACTACAATTTTGTGACTATCCACTTGTCTTATTCACCTCATAATCTTTATTCAAATGTATCCTCTTTTTAGGTTTTAAAAACGTCATTTTAACATATTAATTAATTTTGTTTGTTTTCATCTGGCAATGTGTACTTCCTATTAAGTACTTGAAGGCTGCTGCCATTATTGGCAAAACCTTAGGATTAGTGATGGTATCTTTCCCCTTTACCTTAAAAACTGTGGTATTAGTAAAGTTATAAATACTGTAAAATACTATCGCCACCCCCGCTCCCGCTCCCGCACCCGCTCCCCCTCGAGGGCGCCAGCCTGCCCATTATTACGCACACCTGTTACCATCATTACGCACATCAGCGCTCATTGGACTCACCTGGACTCCTTCACTTTGTTGATTGCCCCTTCTATATCTGTCTGTTCCCCAGTTTGATCCTGGTGTCTGCATTAATGTAGTTATATTTCCCCTGTCCAGACGCTGTCCATGTATTGTTTCATGTCTGTATATATTAAATGTTCACTCCCTGTACTTGCTTCTCGTCTCCCAGCATCTGTCCTCACAACTATGGCAGTAAGAAGTAATTGGTCAAACATAAGTCCCCAATATAAAATGAGGCTAGTTATGCATCATGTTTAGCTTTCAACATCAGCAATACACACACACACCTCCAATTCTTCACACATTCGACAGACCCAAAAATATATATATAATAAATAAATATATATACAGTGCATTCGGAAAGTATTCAGACCACTTGACTTTTTCCACATTTTGTTACATTACAGCCTTATTCTAAAATTGATTAAATTGTATTTTTTCCTCATCAATCTACACACAATACCCCATAATGACAAAGCAAAAACTGGTTTTTAGAAATGTTTGCTAATTTATATTATTATTTTTTTATTTTTATATTACATTTACATAGGTATTCAGACCCTTTACTCAGTACTTTGTTGAAGCACCTTTGGCAGCGATTACAGCCTAGAGTCTTCTTGGGTATGACGCTACAAGCTTGGCACACCTGTATTTGGGGAGTTTCTCCCATTCTTCTCTGCAGATCCTCTCAAGCTCTGTCAGGTTGGATGGGGAGCGTCGCTGCACAGCTATTTTCAGGTCTCTCCAGAGATGTTCGATTGGGTTCAAGTCCGGGCTCTGGCTGGGCCACTCAAGGACATTCAGAGACTTGTCCCGAAGCCACTCCACACTTGGCTGTGTGTTTAGGGTTGTTGTCCTGTTGGAAGGTGAACCTTCGCCCCAGTTTGAGGTCCTGAGCATTCTGGAGCAGGTTTTCATCAAGGATCTCTCTGTACTTTGCTCCGTTCATCTTTGCCTCGATCCTAACTAGTCTCCCAGTTCCTGCCGCTGAAAAACATCCCCACAGAATGGTCCTCTGTAGCGCAATTGGTAGAGCATGGCGCTTGTAACGCCAGGGTAGTGGGTTCGATCCCCGGGACCACCCATACGTAAAAATGTATGCGCACATGACTGTAAGTCGCTTTGGATAAAAGCGTCTGCTAGATGGCATATTATATTATATTATGCTGCCACCACCATGCTTCACCATAGGGATGGTGCCAGGTTTCCTCCAGAAGTGACGCATGGCATTCAGAGTTCAATATTGGTTTCATCAGACAAGAGAATCTTGTTTCTCATGGTCTGAGAGTCCTTTAGGTGCCTTTTGGCAAACTCCAAGCGGGCTGTCGTGCCTTTTACTGAGGTGTGGCTTCCGTCTGGCCACTCTACCATAAAGGCCTGATTGGTGGAGTGCTGCAGAGATGGTTGTCCTTCTGGAAGGTTCTCCCATCTTCACAGAGGAACTCTGGAGCTCTGTCAGTGGCCATCGGGTTCTTGGTCACCTCCCTGACCAAGGCACTTCTTCCCCGATTGCTCAATTTGGCCGGGCGGCAAGCTCTAGGAAGAGTTGGTGTTTCAAAACTTCTTCCATTTAAGAATGATGGAGGCCACTGTGTTTTTGGGGACCTTCAATGCTGCAGAAATTTTTTGGTACCCTTCCCCATATCTGTGTCTCGACACAATCCTGTCTCGGAGCTCTACATACAATTCCTTCGACCTCATGGCTTGGTTTTTGCTTTGACATGCACTGTCAACTGTGGGACTTTAAATAGACAGCTGTGTGCCTTTCCAAATCATGTCCAATCAATTGAATTGACCACCGGTGGACTCCAATCAAGTTGTAGAAACATTTCAAGGATAATCAATGGAAACAGGATGCACCTGAGCTCAATTTTGAGTCTCATAGCAAAGGGTCTGAGTACTGATTTAAATAACGTATTTCTGTTTTTTATTTTAATACATTTGCTAAAAAACCTATTTTCGCTTTGTCATTATGGGGTATTGTGTGTAGATTGCTGAGGATTTTTATTTATTTAATCATTTTTAGAATAAGGCTGTAACGTAACAAAATGTGGAAAAAGTCAAGGGGTCTGAATACTTTCCGAAGCACTGTATATATATATATATATATATATATATATATATATATATATATATATATATACAGTGAGGGAAAAAAGTATTTGATCCCCTGCTGATTTTGTACGTTTGCCCACTGACAAAGACATGATCAGTCTATAATTTTAATGGTAGGTTTATTTGAACAGTGAGAGACAGAATAACAACAAAAAAATTCAGAAAAACCCATGTCAAAAATGTTATAAATTGATTTGCATTTTAATGAGGGAAATAAGTATTTGACCCCTCTGCAAAACATGACTTAGTACTTGGTGGCAAAACCCTTGTTGGCAATCACAGAGGTCAGACGTTTCTTGTAGTTGGCCACCAGGTTTGCACACATCTCAGGAGAAATGTTGTCCCACTCCTCTTTGCAGATCTTCTCCAAGTCATTAAGGTTTCGAGGCTGACATTTGGCAACTTGAACCTTCAGCTCCCTCCACATATTTTCTATGGGATTAAGGTCAGGAGACTGGCTAGGCCACTCCAGGACCTTAATGTGCTTCTTCTTGAGCCACTCCTTTGTTGCTTGGCCGTGTGTTTTGGGTCATTGTCATGCTGGAATACCCATCCACGACCCATTTTCAATGCCCTGGCTGAGGGAAGGAGGTTCTCACCCAAGATTTGACGGTACATGGCCCCGTCCATCGTCCCTTTGATGCGGTGAAGTTGTCCTGTCCCCTTAGCAGAAAAACACCCCCAAAGCATAATGTTTCCACCTCCATGTTTGACGGTGGGGATGGTGTTCTTGGGGTCATAGGCAGCATTCCTCCTCCTCCAAACACAGCGAGTTGAGTTGATGCCAAAGAGCCCCATTTTGGTCTCATCTGACCACAACACTTTCACCCAGTTTCTCCTCTGAATCATTCAGATGTTCATTGGCAAACTTCAGATGGCCCTGTATATGTGCTTTCTTGAGCAGGGGGACCTTGCGGGCACTGCAGGATTTTAGTCCTTCATGGTGTAGTGTGTTACCAATTGTTTTCTTGGTGACTATGGTCCCAGCTGCCTTGAGATCATTGACAAGATCCTCCCGTGTAGTTCTAGGCTGATCCTCACCGTTCTCATGATCATTGCAACTCCACGAGGTGAGATCTTGCATGGAGCCCCAGGCCGAGGGAGATTGACAGTCTTTTGTGTTTCTTCAATATGCGAATAATCGCAACAACTGTTGTCACCTTCTCACCAAGCTGTTGGCGATGGTCTTGTAGCCCATTCCAGCCTTGTGTAGGTCTACAATCTTGTCCCTGACATCCTTGGAGAGCTCTTTGGTCTTGGTCATGGTGGAGAGTTTGGAATCTGATTGATTGATTGCTTCTGTGGACAGGTGTCTTTTATACAGGTAACAAGCTGAGATTAGGAGCACTCCCTTTAAGAGTGTGCTCCTAATCTCAGCTCGTTACCTGTATAAAAGACACCTGGGAGCCAGAAATCTTTCTGATTGAGAGGGGGTCAAATACTTATTTCCCTCATTAAAATGCAAATCAATTTATAACATTTTTGACATGCGTTTTTCTGGATTTTTTTGTTGTTATTCTGTCTCTCACTGTTCAAATAAACCTACCATTAAAATGATAGACTGATCATTTCTTTGTCAGTGGGCAAACGTACAAAATCAGCAGGGGATCAAATACTTTTTTCCCTCACTATATATATATATATATATATATATATATATATATAAACATACAGCGCCTTCGGAAAGTATTCAGACCCCCTGACGTTTTCCACATTTTGTTACGTTACAGCCTTATTCAGCGCTCTGGACCTCAGACTGGGGTGAAGGTTCACCTTCCAACAGGACAATGGCCCTAAGCACACAGCCAAGACAACGCAGGAGTGGCTTGGTGACAAGTCTCTGAATGTCCTTGAGTGGCCCAGCCAGAGCCCGGACTTAAACCTGATCGAACATCTCTGGAGTTAAACCAGATCGAACAAAAATGACAAAAAACCTGTTTTTGCTTTGTCACTATGGGGTATTGTGTGTAGATTGATGAGGGAAAAACCAATTTTATCCATTTTAGAATAAGGCTGTAACATAACAATATGTGGAAAAAGTCAAGGGGTCTGAATCCTTTCCGAAGGCACTGTATATATATACTGTAGATATATACTTTACATATATAAAAACTCCTGCCTCACATTCCTCCTGTTGCTGTGCCTGAGCTTGCATGTGACGGCCAGTCTACAGCTCTCTACAGCTCCACTCTAACTATTCCAACCATGCTGGAGAGAGAAAGGGGAGCGGGCCCAGAGGGATGGGCCGTCTGGGTCTGGGGGAGGGGGGGGCTGGGTTTCCCCGCTCAGCTGAGGTGGAGTCTTACGGACAAGGAGGGGCCAGGGATGGGAGAGGAGAGGAGGGGCCAGGGACGGGAGAGGAGGGGCCAGGGACGGGAGAGGAGAGGAAGGGAAAGGGGAGAGTCCCAGGAAAAAGGGGTCCGGAAAGGAAAAAAGCAGCTGGCTCTGCTTTGACTGGAAGGGTTTCTCCGGGAAGAGTGTCATTCGCATCCCAGCGCTCCTACGGTTACTTCTAAAGCAGACTTCTTCCCTGTAGACTGGACTTTGTCCAAGGATTAGGAACATAGGGAAGAGAGAGAGAGCCTGCTTGTGTGTTTGAGAGCAAGAGTTTGAGAGTTTGAGAGAAAGACAGGAGAGAAGTGTAAAGGGTCCACAGAAGGGCAGAGCAGACAGAGAAGTGTGTGAGTCAGGTGAGAGAAAGCAGCAAAGACTGAACTGACAACCAAGGAGTTCGACTGAAGTCCAAACATTTTGACAAAGGATCTCTTTCCGGCGTCTAATTCTTTTGAATACACAGTCCTTTGACTTATTTTCTTCATCCAGAAAACAATCCAGAAAGTCATGGAAGTGGAAACATCCAGCATGCACTTGGAGCTGCAGGAGCAGCATCAGACCCTCACCGAGATCTCTGACGACGAAGTCAACCTGCCACCGTCGGATGATGAGGAATCTGGTGCCGCCAAGGAACGTTCGTCGGTAGCGCTAGCCATCTCCGAGGGCGACCAGGACGAAAAGGAAGAGGATAAAGCGGGCGCCCAGGTGAACGGTGTTATGGTCCTGGCTTTATTGGACAAGATCATCGGGGCTGTGGACCAGATCCAACAGACGCAGAGTGGCCTGGAGGCTCGGCAGCAGGACATGGAGCGATCAGTGACGGGGATCCAGGGCGAGCTCACCAAACTGACCAAGAGCCACAGCACCACGTCCAACTCAGTCAACAAGATGCTGGAGAAGGTGCGCAAGGTGAGCGTCAATGTGAAGACAGTGCGTGCCAACCTGGAGAAGCAAGGGGGTCAGATCAAGAGGCTGGAGAGCAACGAGAACGAGCTGCTGAAGAGACGTAACTTCAAAGTCATGATCTACCAGGTGAGCGGGGGGTGAAGGTGTGTGGGTGATGTTGGGGATGTGGATGTGGAGTTGGGATGGGATGGAGGTGTGTGGGTGGTGGGTTGAGGGGTGTGTGTGGATGTGTGTGTGGATGGGGGGAGGTGTGTGGGGTGATGTGTGAGTTGGTTGAGGGGGGAATTGGGCACGGCACGCCCGCTTGACACCGGGATGGGTGAGGATTGGGGATTATCATGAGGGTACTGGACTAGGGGTGGATGGCAAACAGACAAACAATTTGAACTTGGTGAAAAGGTTAATGCTCAATTGACAGGTATTTTTTGCAGATGATAGTTTGCATATTACCCGGCTGAGTGTGTACTGGCTAGGGAGAGGAGTTTGGGGTGTGGCTCACCTCAAGGCATCATTGGCAAGTGCCCAAATGACAGCTTGTTCTTTAATATGGATGTACTCCCAAGTCAAACATGCCATTCAAAAATAAGTATATTTCACATCACACATCACTATGTTTATAGGACACAATTGCCGGATGAAAGCAATCAATCAAGTCGGGGGAAAAAATCTATATTTGAACTTGAACTCAAACTTCAATCAGATTCATATAATTCAAAAAGCGGTTTATCCAGTACCACATACATTTACAATAATATGTTCCACTGTGTCATATTTCTACGCAATATATGTTTCATTGTTTTGGTATACCTTGGGTGATCTAGGATTATATCATACTGTACCATGTGCCACACCCTATGGTAGAAGTAGGGTCATCCTCACTAATGTCCACTACCGACTACCCATTGCTCTTGCCTTTGATCCTATTTGACACCCCACCGAGTTAATACATACATGGCTTCCCATGTGGATACAGCTCACTTCTTTGGTCATAAGGAATCTGTAAGTCATCCCTTTTCTATTTTCTTTAAACAAAGATGGAAAATACCACGAGCACACTCGACTTCTTCGCCAAGAGAGAGGCAGGAGTGGTTGTTGGAAGGGGGGAGTGAGGAAAGTAAAGGAGAGGAAAGGAGAGGAGAGTTTGAATGGCAGATGTTTCATTTGAAAAGACACTCTGTAGTTTTGCAGCGAGCGCGGGAGCACCGCGCAGGTCTTTTTTTAGCCCCGGCCATGGTATAATGTGTAATGGCTTGCAGCTTTGCACAGCGATGTGAGAACATTCAGAGTTTCCATCCTCCTAAATGACCAAGCACGGCTTGGGCAGCCCCCCTCTCTCTCTCTCTCTCTCTCTCTCTTCTCGTCCCATCTTCTTCTTCTCCTCCATCCTCTCTCTCTTCTCTCTCTCTCTCTCTCTCTCGTCATCTCTCTCTCTCTCTCTCTCTCTCTCCTCTCTTCTCTCTCTCTCTCTCTTCTCGTCTCTCTTCTCTCTCTCATCTCTCTCTCTTCTCTCTCTCTCTCTCTCGTTCTTGCTCTGTTCCCTTCCCCCCTTGCCTGTCTATAATAACATGTTTTTGTCTGTGTGTGTGTGTGCTCTCGCCCATGCGTGGGTGTGTGTGTATGTGTTGGGTTGCCTCATGTCACTTACTGGCATCCAGATGCAGATATGTAGATCCTCTGAGCCATATTGTAGAAGTCAATCTGTCCATGTCTTTTTATAACCCAGAATAAATCGAATCAAATGGGAATGATACACAAATAATCCAGGCCTACAGTACCATGCACACACACACACACACACACACACACACACACACACACACACACACACACACACACACACACACACACACACACACACATACACACACACACACACACACACAACAAAGAGCTGTCCACTCTCCCATTTGTACAAGTCTTATTTTAACTACAAAAATGATTCAAATCATATCATACCCAAACGAGGCAGGCATAACATACACAAGAGCACACAAAACAGTCTTTCTCCTCAATTATGTTGAGAGATACACTGGCAACACAGGAACATTTAATCCACCACAGATGAGACTGTTGCAATGCAAAGAAGAATACTACATTCTTATCGGTTGACTCATAGGATTACTTTTTTGGGTCTAATTTGATGATTGGATTATTTCTCAATCACTACCATAAATCATTTGTTTAATTAGAAATGGATCAAATGGCAGGCGTAAAGCTAGTATTGCTATGAGCCTTCTAAAATGAAATATGTGTGTGTTTGTGTGTTTGTGTGTGTTTGTGTTTGTGTTTGTATTTGTGTGTAAGAATAAATTCTGGGCTCTGTGGTGTAGAAGAGACAAATGTGACATATCATCATATTCATCTCCATTAAAAACACCAACCACAACATATTCTGTTTTCTGTTTTGTACTACTTCTCTTAGAGACATCAAGGTCAAATCCCCCCCCCCCTCCCCCACACACACACACACAGACACACACACACACACACACACTAACACACATCCATGAATGCTATCAATGTTTTTGCTACTTTGGGGTGCATGAATACTGGATACAGTACGCAGATAATAGCTTTTTGGAGCATTCCATTTGGAGGCTATTTGGAGGGGAGGATACTGTTGGTGATGAATTTCTATCTCACCCTGCCAAATAGTGTTAGGTGGTTCCAATGGCAAGATGTGTACACTTTCACTAAGAGGGAGAGTCCACTAGGTGATGTATGAGAGGGGAGATGGAATAGAGTGGGAAAAAACCCCATAACTTACGCTAGTTGGTTTCAACCCTTCCCGGTGATTGATACTCAGGGTGTGGTTCTTTGGGCTTTGTTTATTCGTTCCAGCCAGTGAGTGGTACTGTGTGTATCAGTGATGTAGAGGTCAAGCTAGAGACATAGAATGTAGCGTGGAGATGCCTATTCTTACACAACACTAGGGATGCGTCCCAAATGGCACCCTATTCCCTATATAGTACAGTACTTTTAACCAGGGCCCATAGCGAATAGGGTGCCATTTGGAACGCAGCCCAGGAGTCAACAAGATACTGGTACCTATCAGAAACATGTTTCCTGTTAATGGATCAAATAAAATAAAACTTTTGGGTTTCTGTGTATCTTTCCAATGTTCTTTTCAAGCCTCGTTCTCAGAACTAACTCCAATTATGACGTCACGCCAAAAACAGCCTGTGTGATTCAGTCGTTCCTGATAGAAACAATTTTTTTCATTGGAGAGAATCTAACTTTTGTCCAAGCCTTTAGGAAACCCTACTGAGCCACGGCCCTCCTCTGATACTGTAGTAAAAACCTACTGTAACTCATCCTGAAGGGACGGTAGAACGGCGAGGGCACAGCTGGGGTGCTTTGTAGTCGGCAGGAGCACTGGTATTTATCTTCCCTTTACAAGTGCCTGTTTACCCTTTAGTCAGCGCCCCACCACCCCACTCCCTCCAGTGGGGTGGTGGGGCGCTGACTAAAGGGTAAACGGGCATTTGTTAGGCTAAGCTAATATGAGAAGCCATTGGTATGCTAAGTTAGGCTAAGCTAGGCTAAACTAAAGTAAGTAGGGGGAGTGAGTGGACCCTAATCTGTGTAAGGTCTGTCAGCGCATCAGCGATATTGACGGCTCCCAACGCTCTATTAGCAGGAACAGCTGTCCTCCCTTCCGTGTGTATGTGTGTATGCATGCATGGTGTGTATGTGTGTGCGTGCGTGCATGCACTTGTGTGCGTGCATTTAATTTATGTACATTTACTATAACTCCTTGTTTAATCTCTCTGATGTATCGGCTTGGACAGCTGACTGAATGTATGTGTTGCTGTGTTCCTGGAATGTGACAGCTCCATGAGAGGGAGGGAGAGCGAGCGAGCGAGAGAGTGAGCGAGTGAGTGAGCGAGTGAGTGAGTGAGTGAGTGAGTGAGAGAGAGAGAGAGAGAGAGAGAGAGAGATAGAGAGATAGAGAGAGATATAGAGAGAGAGAGAGAGAGAGAGGAAGGGGGCAGAGAGGGAGACAGAAAGAGAGAGAGAGGGGAGTGGGAGAGGGAGGGGGAAGGGGGGCAGAGAGGGAAACAGAAAGAGAGAGAGAGGAGCATGATAGGGAGATAAATAGGAAAGAGAGCGAGTAGTATGATAGGGAGATAAATAGGAAAGAGAGAGAGTAGTATGATAGGGAGATAAATAGGAAAGAGAGAGAGTAGTATGATAGGGAGATAAATAGGAAAGAGAGAGAGTAGTATGATAGGGAGATAAATAGGAAAGAGAGAGAGTAGTATGATAGGGAGATAAATAGGAAAGAGAGAGAGTAGTATGATAGGGAGATAAATAGGAAAGAGAGAGAGGAGTGTGATAGGGAGATAAATAGGGAAGAGAGAGAGTAGTATGATAGGGAGATAAATAGGAAAGAGAGAGAGTAGTATGATAGGGAGATAAATAGGAAAGAGAGAGAGTAGTATGATAGGGAGATAAATAGGAAAGTGAGAGAGTAGTATGATAGGGAGATAAATAGGAAAGTGAGAGAGTAGTATGATTGGGAGATAAATAGGAAAGAGAGAGAGTAGTATGATAGGGAGATAAATAGTAAAGAGAGAGAGTAGTATGGTAGGGAGATAAATAGGAAAGAGAGAGAGTAGTATGATAGGGAGATAAATAGGAAAGAGAGAGAGTAGTATGATAGGGAGATAAATAGGAAAGAGAGAGAGTAGTATGATAGGGAGATAAATAGGAAAGAGAGAGAGTAGTATGATAGGGAGATAAATAGAGGTAAATAAGGGCAACACAGGAACATTTAATCCACCACAGATTAAACTGTTGCATTGCAGAGCAGAATACTACATTCTTATCGGTTGACTCATAGGATTACTGTTTTGGGTCTAATTTGATGATTGGATTATTTCTCAATCAGTACCATAATCATTTGTTTGATTAGAAACAGATCAAATGGCAAGCGTAAAGCTAGTCTTGCTATGAGCCTTCTAAAATGAATATTTGTATGTGTATGTGTATGTGTGTGTGTGTGTGTGTGTGTGTGTGTGTCAGAGGAGGCTGGTGGGAGGAGCTATAGGAGGATAGGCTCATTGTAATGGCTGGAATGGAATCAGTGGAATGGTACCAAACACATCAAACATACGGAAACAACATGTTTGACTCCGTTCCATTGATTTCGTTCCAGCCATTACAATGAGCCTGTCCTCCTATAGCTCCTACCACCAGCTTCCTCTGGTGTGTGTGTGTGTGTGTGTGTGTGTGTGTGTGTGTGAGAGAGAGAGCGAGAGAGAGAGAGAGAAAGAGAGGGTCCATCTTCTTTGTGTAAGGAGTGCGTGATGAGGGTGTGTGTTTTGATCCAGAGCAGCACATATTTAGACAGCTGATTCATACCATCGGCATCTGCAGCTCCCCAGCTCTGTTCTGCTCTCTCACCTCCACTACCATCACTCCACCCTAACTCCCATTCCACCTCCCTCTCTCCTACTCCCCCTACACTCCTCCCTCCACCCTAACTACAAACCCACTTCCCTCTCTCCTACTTCCCCTCCACCCTAACTCCCACCCCTCCACACCACTGCCAACCCCACCTAGCTCTCCCTGTATGTTACAAACCACGTTTCCCTAAGGGACGATAAAGTATGCTGTTCTCTTGTCTATTTTCACACACACACCTCCAAATAGTCTACAAATTGAATGCTCAAAAAAGCAAGTATCTGTGTACTGTATCTAGTATTCATGTATCCAAAGTACCAGAAACATTGATAGCATACATGATGTGTGTATGTGTGTGTTGGAGGCTCTAAGAGAAGTAGTACAGAAAACAGAATACTTTGTGGTTGGTGTTTTTAATGAAGATGAATAGGATATGTCACACTTGGCAATCAGCTAATGTTTTGAGTTACAGTGCCTTGCAAAAGTATTCATCCCCTTTGGCGTTTTTCCTATTTTGTTGCATTACAACCTGTAATTTTAATGGATTTTTATTTGGATTTCATGTAATGGACATACACAACATAGTCCAAATTGGTGAAGTGAAATTTTAAAAAATAACTTGTTTCAAAAAATTCTAAAAAATTAATAACGGAAAAGTGGTGCGTGCATCAGTGGGGAGAACAAGTATTTGATACACTGCCGATTTTGCAGGTTTTCCTACTTACAAAGCATGTAGAGGTCTGTAATTTTTATCATATGTACACTTCAACTGTGAGAGACGAAATCTAAAACAAAAATCCAGAAAATCACATTGTATGATTTTTAAGTAATTAATTTGCATTTTATTGCATAACATAAGTATTTGATCACCTACCAACCAGTAAGAATTCCGGCTCTCACAGACCTGTTAGTTTTTCTTTAAGAAGTCCTCCTGTTCTCCACTCATTACCTATATTAACTGCACCTGTTTGAACTCGTTACCTGTATAAAAGACACCTGTCCACACACTCAATCAAACAGACTCCAACCTCTCCACAATGGCTAAGACCAGAGAGCTGTGTAAGGACATTAGGGATAAAATTGTAGACCTGCACAAGGCTGGGATGGGCTACAGGACAATAGGCAAGCAGCTTGGTGAGAAGGCAACAACTGTTGGCGCAATTATTAGAAAATGGAAGAAGTTCAAGATGACGGTCAATCACACTGGGTCTGGGGCCCCATGCAAGATCTCACCTCGTGGGGCATCAATGATCATGAGGAAGGTGAGGGATCAGCCCAGAACTACATGGCAGGACCTGGTTAATGACCTGAAGAGAGCTGTGACCACAGTCTCAAAGAAAACCATTAGTAACACACTACGCCGTCATGGATTAAAATCCTGCAGCGCACGCAAGGTCCCCCTGCTCAAGCCAGCGCATGTCCAGGCCCGTCTGAAGTTTGCCAATGACCATCTGGATGATCCAGAGGAGGAATGGGAGAAGGTCATGTGGTCTGATGAGACAAAAATAGAGCTCGCCGTGTTTGGAGGAAGATGAAGGATGAGTACAACCCCAAGAACACCATCCCAACCGTGAAGCATGGAGGTGGAAACATCATTCTTTGGGAATGCTTTTCTGCAAAGGGGACAGGACGACTGCACCGTATTGAGGGGAGGATGGATGGGGCCATGTATCGCGAGATCTTGGCCAACAACCTCCTTCCCTCAGTAAGAGCATTGAAGATGGGTCGTGGCTGGGTCTTCCAGCATGACAACGACCCGAAACACACAGCCAGGGCAACTAAGGAGTGGCTCCGTAAGAAGCATCTCAAGGTCCTGGAGTGGCCTAGCCAGTCTCCAGACCTGAACCCAATAGAAAATCTTCGGAGGGAGCTGAAAGTCCGTATTGCCCAGCGACAGCCCCGGAGCCTGAAGGATCTGGAGAAGGTCTGTATGGAGGAGTGGGCCAAAATCCCTGCTGCAGTGTGTGCAAACCTGGTCAAGACCTACAGGAAACGTATGATCTCTGTAATTGCAAACAAAGGTTTCTGTACCAAATATTAAGTTCTGCTTTTCTGATGTATCAAATACTTATGTCATGCAATAACATGCTAATTAATTACTTAAAAATCATACAATGATTACAGACCTCTACATGCTTTGTAAGTAGGAAAACCTGCAAAATCGGCAGTGTATCAAATACTTGTTCTCCCCACTGTATGTATTCACCCCCTTTGCTATGAAGCCCCTAAATAAGATCTGGTGCAACCAATTACCTTCAGAAGTCACATAAGTAGTTAAATAAAGTCCACCTATGTGCAATCTTAGTGTCACATGGTCTGTCACATGATCTCAGTATATATACACCTGTTCTGAAAGGCCCAAGAGTCTGCAACACCACTAAGCAAGGGGCACCAGCAAGCAAGCGGCACCACAAAGACCAAGGAGCTCTCCAAACAGGTCAGGGACAAAGTTGTGGAGAAGTAAAGATCAGGGTTGGGTTATAAAAAACTATCTGAAACTTTGAACATCCCACCATTAAATCCATTATTAAAAAATGGAAAGAATATGGCACCACAACAAACCTGCCAAGAGAGAGCTGCAAAGCTCCACAGCGGAGATTGGAGTATCTGTCCATAGGACCACTTTAAGCCGTACACTCCACAGAGCTGGGCTTTACGGAAGAGAGGCCAGAAAAAAGCCATTGCTTAAAGAACAAAATTAGCAAACACGTTTGGTGTTTGCCAAAAGGCATGTGGGAGACTCCCCAAACATATGGAAGAAGGTACTCTGGTCAGATGAGACTAAAATTGAGCTTTTTGGCCATCAAGGAAAACGCTATGTCTGCCGCAAACCCAACATCTCTCATCACCCCAAGAACACCATCCCCACAGTGAAGCATGGTGGTGGCAGCATCATGCTGTGGGGATGTTTTTCATCGGCAGGGACTGGGAAATTGGTCAGAATTGAAGGAATGATGGTTGGCGCTAAATACAGGGAAATTCTTGAGGGAAACCTGTTTCAGTCTTCCAGAGATTTGAGACTGGGACGGAGGTTCACCTTCCAGCAGAACAATGACCCTAAGCATACTGCTAAAGCAACACTCGAGTGGTTTAAGGGGAAACATTTAAATGTCTTGGAATGGCTTAGTCAAAGCCCAGACCTCAATCCAATTGAGAATCTGTGGTATGACTTAAAGATTGCTGTACACCAGCGGAACCTATCCAACTTGAAGGAGCTGGAGCAGTTTTGCCTTGAAGAATGGGCAAAAATCCCAGTGGCTAGATGTACCAAGCTTATAGAGACATACCCCAAGAGACTTGCAGCTGTAATTGCTGCAAAAGGTGGCTCTACAAAGTATTGACTTTGGGGGGGTGAATAGTTATGCACGCTCAAGTTTTCAGTTTTTTTGTCTTATTTCTTGTTTTGTTTACCCCCAAAAATATTTTGCATCTTCAAAGTGGTAGGCATGTTGTGTAAATCAAATGATACAAAAAATCAATTGTAATTCCAGGTTGTAAGGCAACAAAATAGGAAAAATGCCAAGTGGGGTGAATACTTTCGGAAGAATAGGCATCTTCCTATTCAAAATCCTATTTTCCCTAACCCTAACCCTTACCCTAAACCTAACCTTAACCCCTAACGCTAACCCTAATTGTAACCCTAACCCTAAACCTAACCCCTTAGCCTAAAATAGCTAAATGTCCCCACTTGTCTGAATTGTCCTTGTTTTACTATCCTTGTGAGGACTTCTGGTCCCCACAAGGATAGTAAAACCAAAAACACACACACACAGACCATCCGCTGTAATGAGTAAACACATATACCTGTAATTAATTATTCCCAGTCATTCATGTTACAGCCATAGGAATACTTTGAGGTTTTCCATTCCATTCCCCTCCGAGGCATTTCACTTTCCATAAAGTGTAGTCTCTTCCCACACCCGCTGCGTCTATCAACACAACGCAAGGGTGGAATAGGACATGTAGTATAAATACAATACCGTATAAAATACAGTGGCCTACGTATGCACTCAAGAACTCACATGGACATTTGTAGACACAATCCATTGCGAACTGTAACCAGCTTTTGCTACTGACTCCATTCTTTCTGTCCAGGCCTGTTTATGTACAGTTCTGTACGCTTGACTTATGGTGACTCTGAATGGGATGAAAGTCACCACCGTTGCCATGCCCCCCCATTACTCTTTCCAATAACAATGGAGGAGATTTCTGTTTATGGAGAGATTTATGACCGTGTGTGTGTGTGTGTGTGTGTGTGTGTGTGTGTGTGTGTGTGTGTGTGTGTGTGTGTGTGTGTGTGTGTGTGTGCGCGTTTGTGTGTGTGTGTGTGTGTGTGTGTGTGTGTGTGGTTGTGTGTGTGTGTGTGCATGAATGTGCAGATGTTTGATCGGAGCCCCGGACAAAGTATGTAGGAAAAGGAAAACAACCCTGACTTCTCACAATGGCAAGCTGTATCTTGCAGTGGCGGTGGAGGGTGTCTGTGAAAAGTGCTCAGAGTACTTGACACAGACCTGTTGGTATCCCGGGTAACCCTATAAGAGGCATGGTTGCTACCATAGCCATGTATAGCCCTGAGATCGCCATGGCTCATGGCATATTTACAGCCTTGAACATGCACAAAGACGAGCCAAATTCCTATAAGCAGAACATCAAGCTATTATCGACTAAACAATAAATGTATTGATACGAGTCAAATGACCGGCATTACTGTTGATCTGGTATGGGCCTTCCAAGAGGGGGGATGAAGAGGGAGATGCAAATTGGGACACAGAAGGCCCTCAACAAACCCTCTTGTCCAGAAATGAAGCCATCCTTCAGTCAGCTGGCACTTAATTGGTACAGTGAATTAACAAGCAATAATTTGCCACAACTGTCAACTGACACATTTAAAGGGATAGTTCACCCAAATTACAAAATTACTGACTATTCATTACCCAGTCTTTGGACAATGTAAGACAGCAATCCATGCTTTGGTTTTGTTTACCTGGCAACTTCTTTTGGGGGGTGAACTATCCCTTTAAACACAACCATACCATGACGACATGGCATGCCGAAAGCCACAAGAGATAGAGTTTCGCAGGACAAAAAACTAAAAACATTGGTTCAAATCCAAGACAAACTAAACAGGAACCTGATCCCATAAAGGCCACTTCCTTCTCACAATCAAACAAGTATGTGATAGTCGCTATTTTTAGATTGCAGCCCCCCCTCCCTCCCTCACCGACCCCTCTACCTCCCTTTCCCGTGGGTCCTACTAGTGGCAAGTCGAGTCGGAGTCGCCACTACGCCAGCTGTGTAGATGTGTCCTCTGTTTTCCTGCGATTCCGTCCGTTGACAAGCTCTCTGCCGAATGTATGATGTCATATCGGAGAGGATAAGCACGCTACCCTACCCGCCAAAGTCTCCCGAAAGAAAGAAACTTGCTAAATGAATGTTGAATGTTATACATTTTGACTAGTAAGTGAGTTAAGAGAACCAAAGCATTCCTGAGACCTTGCCTTATATGGCACTGTAGACTGGAGAGAGGTGAACAAATGGATTTGCCCTTTATAAAATAACATGTCAAAGATAGAAAGATTTGAGTATGAGAATTTTTCTCAAGGCAGCTTCTAACATGTAGATTTTCATCATTGTGTTATGAATCACTGGTTTCAATCTTGAATTCAAATGGGAAACATTATGGGCTTGTAATAGTAAAAACAATACATTCGGCTTTATGTGAGCAATTTGGATGGTGTGCAACACTAAAAAAGGTACAATTAGGGGGCATTTTGAAAGCACTGTCAAACACAAGTGACGGAGCCTGTGTGTGTGTGTGTGTGTGTGTGTGTGTGTGTGTGTGTGTGTGTGTGTGTGTGTGTGTGTGTGTGTGTGTGTGTGTGTGTGTGTGTGTGTGTGTGTGTGCGTGTGTGCGTGTGTGTGTGTGTATCCAAAGAAGAAGGGGGCACTTCCTTTAACACTGTTCCTCTCCACACAACTTCCTACTGGGCACAGACGTCAGTTCAACGTTTAGTTTTGATTTACATTTTGTTGAGTTTTCAACTAACGTGAATTCAACGTGAAATCAACAAAAAATGTCACCATGTCATTGGATTTAGGTTAATAGTTGGGTGAAAGCCACAAAATGCCAAATGCCCTTAAGTTGATGACTTCTTGCAAATCCAATCAGTTTTCCACGTTGATTCAACGTCATCACATTGATTTTGGGGGTTGAAATGACGTGGAAACAACGTTGATTCAACCAGTTTTTGCCCAGTGGGTTGAGTCTGCACTCAGACAAAACATATAAGGACAACCCCTGCATTCACTGTACTGTATCAAGAATACTATGGCACTGCTAGCCATCTCACAAACGTACCCTAGCATGGCTCTGAGGTATAAACTCACATCATGTTGTTGTTTTATATTCTTATACACAGTGATGTCAGTTCTTTATGACAGAGGTTTTACTTGTGACACTCCAGTGGTTGTTTGTTTCACTTTGGTTGGTTGAATGGACTTACTGTTGGTCTGCATCTGTGAAATTATTAAACTGTAACATTTATTAGCCCTGGAGTGTTTTGAAGATTCATATTTACAGCCTTACATCTTGAACAAGCACAAAGACGAGCCTATTTGCGATATCTAATAAACAAATTCCTGTAAGCAGAACATCAAATATGAAATCATGTGATCAGATTAGTGCATTTTTTTAATTTAGGGCGTTTGTGAAAAGGAATCATAGGTCTGACTCACTGAGAAATCTTTAAGACTGTTTCTGGAAAAATAGCAAGCTATTATTCGAAATTGAACGGCTTAGCATTGCACTACCGCAGTACAGGCCCACTGCACTGACTATAACTAAATCACCCTACAAAGCCATAGGAGAACAGCTGACACTAGGTAGTCAGAGCAGACCTTTTCTGAGGGGAGAAAAATAGGGGAGTCCGTAAGGGTGTGCTGCTTATCTTTTAGGAGTCAGGGGTCAGCTAGTGTTGGCCAGGCATGGGCTTACTGTAGCTCATAAAGGAACTGTGTAGTGAGAGTGTACTTGTCCCTAAAGGGAACTTATCTTTGTGTTCAGTGAGACCTCACTGAAGACCTTTCAATTCAGTCAATTGATGAAGTAAACCAAAATTCCAATGTTCCTCATTGAAAAGCATTACTTCATGTCCTTTGTACCATATGTTCACTGAGTTACTCAGTTTTCCTTATGACATGACATAGTGTGTCTACTGCTCCACCTTCAGAAACCATTCAAGGAAGGTGTGGAAAAGTCAACAGCAACAACATAGTGGAGTCAAAGTGCACTTATCTCAAAGAGAACCGCATAGGGGAGTCAGAGTGTACTCATCCCAGTAGGAATAACATAGGGGAGGCAGTGAATGTGTTGCTATGGCCGGTTTGTGATCACAGGGCAGAGGAGGAGAGATGTCTCAACAACAGAGCTTGTGATTCATCGAGCTCCGCTCCCCCTGAGGGACCTCTGGCATGCCATAACTTTATATAGCAATCTCTCCTCTCCTCTCCTTCTGTGACTCCGACTTTCTCTCTCTCTCTCTCCTTTTCTCTCTCTCGCTCGATCTTTCTCTCCTACACACTGTATTTATCTCTCTCTCTTTCCAATTTTCTTTCTCTCTCTTTCTTAATTTTCTCTCTCTCATTCTTTCTTTCATTCTCTATTTTCTCTCTTTCGTTCTTTCTTTTGTTTTCTTTCTCTCTCCCTCCTTATTTCTCTATTTTCTCTCTCGCGCTTTTTTCTTTTTTCTCTCTCTCAATTTTCTTTCTCTCTCTATTTTCTCTATATTGTCTCTCTATTTTCTCTCTATTTCGCTCTTTTTCTCACTTTGTCTACTCTCTCTCTCTCTCTCTCTCTCTCTCTCTCTCTCTCTCTCTCTCTCACTCACACTCTCATTTTCACTCACTCTCCCTCTCACTCACTCACTCACTCTAAGGGCCAGGGGAAAATCAGAATGGAAAAAAGGAGCAGCCATTCTCCCCCAGAGGCTCTGTCACTGTTTGCCCATCACATGCTTTCCCCCCCACACACACCCCTTAGGCACAGATCCAGGATCAGCCTCCCCTCCCCCAATTGTAACTTTAACCATTAGTGGGGGAACACACAACTGACCTTAGATCAGCATCCCAGACCAGGCCTAATACGATCTACAGTCAGTGGTTTGCTTTGGAATGTAGTGCAATTCATTCTCACGTTAGTCCAGTGAAGGATTTCTATTTCAAGGCAGGAAGTTTGTTTCATCTAAGGCTGCGTCCCAAATGGCACCCTAATCCCTACATAGTGCACTACCTTTGACCAGGGCTCAAAGGGACTTACATTTAAGGGCATGAAATTATTCCTAAAAGGTATATTTGGTTTCTTTCTGCTTCTGTGCTAAAGAGCGACATTTTCGTGATGCATAAAAGTTCAAATGTGTGCAAAAAATAATGTAAAACTGATTTTGCACCATGAAAACGGAAAAGGAGGAGGACAGAGAGGGAGTGTTGGTGAGAGAGGGATTCCTCTGTAGTCGGGCAGACACACACACACACTCACACACACAGTAAAAGAGCTGTACACATGGCAGTGATGAGTGGTTATACTGTGATTTGGGTATTGGGGCTGGGCTGGGCTGGAGGAAAGCTTCCATGGTGAGCCTCACCCGGGTCCTCAAGCCTTGCCGCGGTCAAACGAGGTCCTCTGACACATGCCTGTTTGTAAAGTGGAATTTATTTTTCCTGCTGAGGTTGGAACGTGGAAATACTGACAAAGCATAGACTCAGGGACAGGCAGATACTCCCTGTCGGTATTCGATAGAACGTAGCCCCGCCCGCATTGGGGGAAAACAACCCATGGTTACCTTGGTTACCTAATTGCCTCACAGCAAAAACTTTACATTTTTCAAATGCAATTTTCTTGTTGTTTGCTTGTTTTAGTCAATTACAAAACTACAAATATTACTTTTCAACATTGCCTGCTGCCGAGCGTTCTCAATGCTTAGAAAAACGTAATATTGTAGGGCGTCCCTCATGCACCTTTTCATAATGGCGCTAGCAGCCACGTGAGTGAGTGCTAGCTAGCTAGCTACCAACTAAAACATTAAGCTAGCCAAGACCAACAATACAAACAGACTATACAGCTACAAGTAGTGACTGGAGTTACAAACTGACTATACTAAACAAGTTAAATGTCTTACCTGTGATTAAATGTTTTCCACACACATAGCTATGAGTAGTCTACTTGGGTACCGGATCCCCACATTTCCCTCTCTCCCACGCCGAATAGCATGAAGCCACTGGGCTCTTCTCGCAGGCTCCATTTCCCTACATGGGAGCATTGTGAACCGTAGGTCTGATCTGGTTACATGTAATAATAATATGCGATTTAGCAGACGCTTTTATCCAAAGCGACTTACAGTCATGTGTGCATACATTTTTACGTATGGGTGGTCCCGGGGATCAAACCCACTACCCTGGCGTTACAAGCGCCATGCTCTACCAATTGCGCTACAGAGGACCACGTACATTCAACAAAAGCAGCTCTTCAGCATGTTTTGTTATTGCTGTATAACAAAAAATGTACGAAGAAGTTGGCTCTTTTACAATGGGGATCAATGTTAAAGAATGTTTGTTTTCCCCAATTTATGGGCGTGGTCAAGGGAAATTCCTTATTATGACGTGAATATCGACTCGGAATATACACGTAGTAAAGTATAGTGGTAATGGTGATGGTAAGGATAAGGAAATTAATATTACAATTACAATATGAAGGACGATTGTCTAGGAACATTTATTGCACCTACCTATATCATTTTTGCACATGCATTACACTTGCACGTCCCACCACCAAATCATTCCACAAGGCAGAAAAACAGGCCAAAAGCAGAATAGGGCTGTGGATACTGGACAGCCAGAGAAAGAGAGAGGCAAGAAAGGGAGGAGGGGGGGGGGGGGGGGGGGGGGGGGGGGAGAGAGACAGAGAGACAGACAGACAGACAGAGAGAGAGAGAGGGGGGGGGGAGGGGGGGGGGGACACGTAGGCTTGTTAGTGAAAGAGTGGGACTTTTTTGTGCTGACTGTACGGGGCTGCAGCCAGCTGATCTCAGCATATGAGCCCCCCACCCCTCCCACCCCCTCCCAGTCCCCATACCCCCCACCCCCACCGGAACACAATGACAAAGCATGCAGACAACAGTTCAACATGGGTCGCCTGTTTTGACTTTGCTAGCCTAGCCAGCCCCCACTGTTTGTGCTGTTTGCAGCAAAGTAGAGAAATGTTTAACAAAAGAGACATTTGGGTGTGTTAGTGTTGGTAGTCATAGGTGGATAGTCACATTTCTTTCTACATACTGTAAATAGTCTTTCTACATACTCTCGTTTATAATGTCTGTACTCATCTGGAGATGACATAACCTGGTTAAACCAGACTGAACGTTACGCTCATTATTGTTTCACTTGAGCTTAACATTCAGTATGTACACTGGAGTGCAATGTGTGGTGTTGAATTATTGTGGATAGACTGGCCTCACACACACACACACACACACACACACACACACACACACACACACACACACACACACACACACACACACACACACACACACAGACACTCTTAGTGGGTGGCAGAGGCACTCAGTGAGTGTGAGTCTAACTGCACTGTAAACACCTTTAAGACAGATTACTTTTCCACAGGCCATGTCTCAGAGCTAATGCACCACTCTCTCCATGACTAAGACTAAGTGAAAGAAGGAGAGAGGGAGGGAGGGAGGAAAGAGAGGGGGAGGGAGGAAAGAGAGGGTAATAGAGAGACAGAGAAGAAGAGAGGGAAAGAGGAATGAGAGATGGAGAGAGAGAGAGAGAGAGAGAGAGAGGAGAGAGAGAGAGAGAGAGAGAGAGAGAGAGAGAGAGAGAGAGAGAGAGAGAGAAAGAAATATAGAGATAAAGAGAGAGGGAGACATCGAAGAGAAAAGAGAGAAAGTAGAGAGAAATAAGGAGAGAGAGGAGAAGGAAAGAGAGAGAAAAATAGACTGTATTCACCACTGCGGTCCCAGCAAACGAAGCAGCGGCTTGGAGGGAGTTTATCTGTGGTGGTTGCTAAGGACAACAGAGGAGTGTGTGTATACACTGTAGCTGTGTATCAGTGGTGGTAGAATGGAACGCAGAAGTAACCAATGGAATCTGGAGCAGAGGAGGGGAGGTCTGAAATCATCGAAAAACTATAAGCAGATACACAAACACATTACCCCCGCCCCCCACCACCCTACATGCACAGACACACCACACCCTGCCTTGACTGACACCAAGCAGCACAAGATTAAGATTGCAGCCAATGTAATGATGAAACACAAATCATAGACTACACCCAACACTACAGGACACATTTAACCCTGGCACAGAGTGTTTTGCAATGCCTGCCATTTGTAATTGATGGGTAAAGTTCAAATCAAATATGGCGATAATACTGTAGGTATTGGGCAAGTTTTCCTTTGCAACATTTAGACACTTCCACACACACAGATGTCAAATCAAATCAAATCAAATTGTATTTCTCACATACACATGTTTAGCAGATGTTATAGCGGGTGTAGGGAAATGCTTGTGCTTCTAGCTCTGACAGTGCAGTAATATCTAACAATTTCACAACATATACCCAATACACACAAATCTAGTAAGGAATGGGATTTAAGAATATATACATATTTGGACAAGCAATGACAGAGCGGCATGGACTAAGATACAGAAGAATATTATAGAATAGAATGCAGTATATAAATATGAGATGAGTACTGCAAGATATGTAAACATTATTAAAGTGACTAGTGTTCCATTTCTTAAAGTGGCCAGTGATTTCAATAGGCAGCAGCAGCCTCTAATGTGCTAGTGATGGCTATTTAACAGTCTGATGGCCTTAAGATAGAAGCTGTTTTTCATTCTCTCGGTCCCAGCTTGTGGTCCTCTGTAGCTCAATTGGTAAAGCATGGTGCTTGTAACGCCAGGGTAGTGGGTTCGATTCCCAGGACCACCCATATGTAAAAATGTATGCGAACATGACTGTAAGTCGCTTTGGATAAAAGCGTCTGCTAAATGGCATATTATTATTATGCACCTGTACTGACCTCGCCTTCTGGATGATAGCAGGGTGAACAGGCCGTGGCTCGGGTGGTTGATGTCCTTGATTATCTTTTTGGCCTTCCTGTGACATCGGGTGCTGTATGTGTCTTGGAGGGCTGGTAGTTTGCCCCCGGTAATGTATTCGGCAGACCGCACCACCCTCTGGAGAGCCCTGCGGTTGTGGGCGGTGCAGTTGCCGTACCAGGCGGTGATACAGCCCGACAGGATGCTCTCAATTGTGCATCTGTAAAAGTTTGTGAGGGTTTTAGGTGATAAGCCACATTTCTTCAGCCTCCTGAGGTTGAAGAGGCTCTGTTGCACCTTCTTCACCACACTGTCTGCGTGGGTGGAACATGTAAGTTTGTCGGTGATGTGTACGCCAAGGAATTTGAAGCTTTCCACCTTCTCCACTGCGGTCCCGTCGATGGTCGATGTGGATAGGGGGGTGCACCCTCTGCTGTTTCCTGAAGTCCACGATCATCTCCTCACATGCTCACGCTCACACACAGGCATGTATACCCCCCCCCCCCCCCCCCCCCCCCCACACACACACACACAAAATCCCCCCCCCCCCCCCCCCCCCCTCCCCCTTGTCATTTACCTTCCTGCCTCTCTCTCTATCGGTCTCCCCCTCGTCGGCCTGAGAGAACAATGTCCTATTAAATCAGAAGGGGTCAGGATATCAGTCACGCCAAGGTGAATGCCTGGCTTCCTGTCACACTCCGGTTGTAGCCCTAATGGCACCCTATTCCCTATAAAGTGCACTACCTTTGACCAGTCAAAAGTGGTGCACTTCATAGGGAATAGGGTGCCATTTGGGACACAGCCCCACTTTATTTCCATGTACACACTTCCCTCCGTTACACCCGCCCGTTTTGGCTCCTCAAGAAGCCTTATATAAGTGCCTTGACCTCTGAACTTCCGTTCTTTGAAGTTGCATACTGACAGATTGGAGGTCTCCCAAGCCAGGCCGGGCAGAGGTATTCACTGTAGGGAGGCAGATTAAAGTCGAGAAAGGGCACATATGTCCAGTTTTTACCATCCAAAATCTAAAACTCGATAGATTAGTCATATTTGTATTCGGAGGGTTACTTTCACACAAGGGGGGTGGGGGGTGGGGAGAGGGATTTGGGTAGGTGTGCTGTGGAACTTGTAGACTTGTGCAACTCAGGAGGCTGCTGAGGGGATAACGGCTCATAATAATGGCCGGAATGGCGCAAATGGAATGACATCAAACACCTGGAAACCATGGAAACCATGTGTTTGCTGTATTTGTTACCCATCCACTAATTCCACTCCAGTTATTGCCATGAGCCCGTTCTCCCCAATTAAGGTGCCACCAACCTCCTGTGCTGTGTACGTACGTGCCTGGTGGTCTCATGCAGATTTGATCAGTACGGTAGGAGTAAATGGGCTTTGAAATAAGAAAAGGTTGAGGAAGTTGAGTCATTACATAGGCCTGCAATGAAAAAGGCTGTTGTGACAGACTGTTAAAGCCTGCGCTAAGAGCACATTAGCCTTACATTTCATCAAAATTGTCCCCGGGTGGAACAAATATGATTGGTCTACTGGGGTCAGAACAAATCTGATTGGTTCGGTTGTTGACTTGGCTGCTAGGCTTGGGCAATATACCATCTATACCGTATACCAGGGTATTTCGAAATACCAACGGTATGATTTATACCGTTTTAAAACAAACAACAGAGACATTACAGCAGAGACATTCAATCCCCTCCTGGATCAAGATCCCTGTTGCCTAAATTGTTTTGTGCGTAAAAAAAAAACGGCCCAAAAATGTTTGTCCCTTGTGTCCACATTCGGTAATAACGTATACCCCAGTATGGTACAGAAATGGTATGACGGTATGAAAATCTGGATACCGCCCAACCCTATTGGCTGCTCGTTAAACCACGCCCTGCGACCTTTTCGCCAGAACCAATAGGAATCGTTCTGCCCTACAGAACAACGTTGATAACATACAAGTCTAGGAAATTGTTTCACGAAAACCCATGTTATGCTTGTGATGTAAATCAATGTAAGACTCTCTTCCTGGCAGCATCCCAAATGGCACCATATTCCCTTTTAACCAAAGCCCTATGAGCCCTGGTCATAAGTAATTCACTACATAGGGAATAGGGTGCCATTTGGAACACAACCCCTGTGTACTATTAAGGAAATAAGGTCAAGGTTGAGTTTACCCTCGACACCACTAGAACACAATGCATGACCAAAAGTATAACCCCAGTCACAGAACAATGAAACACAATAGGGAGTTCTCCTCTCCCACCTGCTTTGACACTCCAGTTGTTTTTTTCCAATAGCGATGCGAGCACATGGTTTTCCAGACGGCCGTAAAAGCATCATCACCTTTGTGCTTATCAAAATAGCCGGCGGTGTCTCCCTCGTTTAACTCAGCCAAGAGATATTTCTTGGCCCCCCCACTCAGAGCCCCTTTGTTAATGCCTTTTACTGTTCCTGTTTTCTTAAGGGTGGAGGGGGGGGGGGACAATACACAATTTTAGCTGGAGACACATAGGAGCCATTTGGCAGTGTAAGCGAGTGACTCAGGGAGATTGCCGTGATGGAAAAAAAGAACATGTATTTTCCATTAACAAGCCGGTGCATTGTACACGGGTTGGCGGAACACAGGAACACACGCACACGGGAAAAGAGCGAGGGGCTTGCGAGCCTGGAATGCGAGGAGGAGGAAGAGGGAGAGGCGGGCTAGGCCGGTGAGAAGGGGTGGGTGGGAAAGGGGAAGGGTAGGAATGAGGAAACGACAACAAAGACTTGAGACGTGTTCAGCCTGTGCTGTTCAGAAACACTCTGAGGCAGGTCAAGACATCAGGTGTTTTTGAGAAGCAGCTATCTTGGTGGGTTAGATCATGTGGAATATGAAAATCAATGGCCTCATCCATTAGGTTAGACTAATGGATTACTTTCTATCCATCCTAATGTCAATAAGGCATTAACACCAGTGGAACCTGTCCTTTGTAAATGTGGACAAATTAAACATTTGTCAAAGAGCATCCTTCAAGTTTTAAAGAGTGTACTTCATTCCTCATTGGAAACAGTTGGTCTGCACAGGGGAATTATACACAAATGTTTCGGTTGAAAGCTGTCTTCAGTGTCTAGGTTCCCCAGTTCCAGCCAGGTGATGTGATGCAGTGAGGTTTGGTTAGGAGAGGGTGTCTGACTCTGAACATGTGGCAGCCTGCAGGTAGATACAGAGCTCAGAGGCCTTGGAATCACCATGTTCCTGACAGGAAAGAGCCTGGAGGTCTCTCCACCCCTCCAGAGCTAGCCAGCCAGTGTGCATGTGTGTGCACAAACATTTAAAAGTGTGTGTGTGTGTGTGTGATCATTTCAAAATGTGTGTGTGTGTACATTAAAAAATGTGTGTGTGTGCAGTGCAAAGGAGGTGAGGAACATGACTCACCAGCATCAGGAGTACAGGCGTTAAACAATAGAGTCATTAAGCCTAGAGGTACACTGATTGCTTCTGGCAAGGCTGGGATCCATCAGAAAGCTTGGACGTTGAAGGTTACTTATTTTTTTCATGCCATAGGGAGACGCGACAGTGGAAAATGTAATGGTCTTGTAGAGGAGTGGAAATATGGAAACGGGGGGAGGGGGGGGGGGGGGGGGTTGTTATGAGGTGGAGAACTGGGAGAGGAGAGATGTTCGGGATCTCAGGGTTTCCTCACACAGGCGTGTACACACACACACTCTCTCTGTTTCTCATACACACACACACACACACACACAAACAGACACATGCACACACACAAAGGTTGTTTTACTGGTACAAACACAGAGCAAGGGTTCTCATGTGGGATTCTCATGTCAACCTTTTTTAAGATGTACTATTCCTGTTGCTTTGAAGTTCAAAGCAACAGGAAGTTGCTCATGAATGTAATCAAAGAAAGGGTAGTGTTTACGATACAAATGTGTAACTTCAGATACCCATTCCCTGCATAATTTGACTTTTAACTATTATTGTCAATAAGATATTTGTAGGGGGGTAGGGGGATTGCCCAATACAAAGAAAACATATTTATTGTTCCAAAAACATATTATCTGACCTATAGAGCATGTCTATCATCTGTTTTAACCGCTTCATGTCTCCTCTTGTCTGCAGGACGAGGTGAAGATTCCCTCTAAACTGACCGTGTCCAAGTCCATGAAGCTCCCAGAGCTGGTGGAGGGAGGAAGAGGCAGCGTGCTGGACCTGAAAGAGGGAGTTGAGGAGCACGGAGAGGAGGGAGAAGAGAAGCCCCATTTGGACCTCTCCTCTGACGAGGAGGAGCTGGAGATCGAGGACGTCATCGAGGAGTCGCGCACCGAACGCATCAAGCGCAGCAGCCTCCAGCGCGTGCAAAACATCAAAAGCGCCTTCTCCAAGGAGAAGATGGGCTTGACCAAGGAGAAGATGACCTTGACCAGGGAAAAGATGGGCTTGACCAAGGAGAAGATGGCCTTGACCAAGGAAAAGATGGGCTTCAACAGGCAGAAAACCAATAAGGAGAATGTGGAGAAAATCCCGAAGCCAAACGCCAAAGAGAACTTTGACAAGACCAAACAACACGCCAAAGAGAACTTTGACAAGACCAAAAAAAACGCCAAAGAGAACTTTGACAAGACCAAGCAGAAGACCAAAGAGAACCTGGAGAAGACGCGCCACAACATCGAGAAGAAGATGGGCAAGCTGGGCACACGCATGAGTGTCAACCCCGAGCAGAAGGAGAAGATAAAGGTGTCGCGGCAGAAGATGATGAAATCCTTTACCCCCGACCACACCGTCTACGCCCGCGACAAGACCGCCGTCTACAAGGTGCCTCCCTTCACCTTCCATGTCAAGAAGTTCCGCGAGGGCGCCATGGAGCCCGTGGAGGTCCAGGGGACAGAGATGGTGGAGGTATCCCAGGACCTGAACCCTTTTCAGGGACTGGAGGATGACTGCCATGAGGGGCGTGTGGATCTGGACGTGGACGTGGATATGATGAATGGAGGAGGAGAGGAGGAGGTGATGGAGGATGAAGAGGAAGAGGAAGAGGAAGAGGAAGAGGAGGACAGCCATTCCCTGCAGGAGATGCACGAGGACTCAGAGCATGTTCTGGTGGAGCGGGATAGGGACAGCGACTAGGTGAGGAAGAGGAGGAAGAGGAGGAAGAGGAGGAAAAGGAGGAAGGTGAACAAGACAACTATGCCCAATCCCAAAACTGCCCACTAGAACCAAACTCCCTGAGGGCCTTGTGTATATCTAAAAAGGACTGGATAGGTAGAAGCAATACGGTAATAGCTTCCCATTGTCTTCTGATAGGCTGTATTTCTTACACCTGTCCAATCCACTTTACAAAAGTGTCTAGGGGGGAGGGGCTAGGGATTGATTTTGGGATTGGGCGCTAGAGAGGCCATGAAGAGAAAAAGAAAAGGAAGAAGAATGAGACAACAAACAACAACATGGGGTTGGAAGGGAAAGAAAGGGAGAGAATGGGGGGGGGGTTGGGGGGGTAAGGAATACAGAATAAAGTTTCTATGCCGTGATATAATCCTGAAGCCCATTAAAAAACAGTATGGGACTGGATCCAGGAAGTAAGGCGAAATGGGCGGTCACTTTCCCATCGTGTAAGTGATTATAAAATCTCTAAGCACTGCATTCATTTATTCATAAATGCTTATATCATTTTACCAACCTACAAACAACCAAAGGTTGACATAAAGTTTACAGTGACATGAATGATTATGTAGTGCTTTTGGATATTTTATAAATATGTATTTTGAAGACCTGATTTAGGCCCCCTATATGACCTGATTTAGGCCCCCCCCCCCCCCCCCCCACACACACACACACACACTCACACACTTTCCCTATAGGCATATATGTTGTGAATTTGACCAGTTCATGAACACAGTGTCATTTGGGTGTATTGTCTTGATAAAGATTACATCTTATGCCATCACCTTTTTGCTGTGTGTGAAGAAAGATGAGAGAATGAGACCACTGTCACAAACGAAATACACTGAGTCTAACAAAGGGGTCTAAGCTCAAATGAAGGATCCTAACATCTGCAAGAAACACAAAATGTTCATGAGACGTTCATGAAACGTCACTCATGTGCTGTAAGTAGACTACGCACCCATGTATTCATTCACTGCCTGAGTTTTAGATATGAAAGGACATTCTGATGAAATCTCGAGTCATCAAAAGCTCTGTTTTGACGTGACAACAAAGATAAGGAGCTATACTATAAGATTTCTTCACGATCCTGGTGGAAAAATGTAAATCCTGCCACTGGTGTGCTATATATACCTTGTACAATAGCAATCATTTGTTTTATCAATGTTTTATCAACGTGTCTTATGTGTTGAGTTGACGGTAGACTAACCAGCCACTTACACACTCATTTTCCCGACACTTTTTTAACGTCTACTCTCCTTAAGAGTGTTTTGAAGAGGTGCACCACCTAGTGGCAATGTATGGTATTACACATAGGGACATTTACAACGCAGCCGTGCTGAGACCAGCATCTCCTTAAGAAAGCTGCCCATCAACTACTACTTTTCACTGATGTAAGAGCAACCCTTAAATCCCAATGGGCCGATACCAAGCACTTGTTTTCTCTAACATTTTAAACCTGGCTGATGCAAGTCAACTGTGCTTTGATTCTCTTGTTGCGTTTAGAATCAGAATGTTTTTAATATCCGATTCAACCCTTTTTAGTTTTTATTGACACATTGACTTGTTTTGCAAAGAGATAATATAAAGCTGGGGTTCAATCTAATCCTGGCCTAATGTGGGCATGCTCACAGACTCACAGTCACTGATTATTCCAACAGCACATAAATGCACCATCACCGTCGCTAATGATCTCATACAGACAATTTCTCTATTTTAATTTTAATTTAATTTTCAACTTTAATTTTCAACTAAACAGATAAATAGTTGGATCAATTGATCGAAGGTGAGGTGAAACAGACTTTTCCTACAAACTGTAACAAAGGGGGAGGCAGTACTTCAGTATCAGTGATGTCCTGGGTCTTGTTCATTGTGGCACAGAACAGAAAACATTTTAAAACGTTTTGCAACAGAACACGGACATTAGTGTTACTTATTGGACAAGTCAAGGTAGTCCCTACCTAAAAAGTGCATTTTCTTTTGTTTGGTGCCTAGAGAACACGGCCCAGGTTTCCAAACCCAGACCTGTATACTATACTATACATAGAGTACCAGTTGACCAAACCTGTAGTTTCTACCATTAATTTTCATGTATGTAAGTGTATATAATGTGAATCACTGCCACAGCAGTGCAACTGCCTTTATTGCAAAACCAATTCATCTTAATTTGCTTCCACTGTCTCCAAACCCTCTGTGAAAATACTTGCTTTAACCCCACAGCTAAAGCCTATGTTTACTAAGACACTAAAGCCTGTTTAACCCCCCCCCCCCACATCTCTTTTTCATGTTGGTTAAATAATGCATATGAATTCTGTACCATGTAATGACTCATTCCCTAACCACTAATACTTTAATAAAAGCTATTTGATTCACAATTGCTGTATGTCTTAATTGAAAACACTGAGATGATCCCAAATGAAAAATAGGTGGTAGTGTATCCTTGCAAGTACAATTTATTTTACTTTGAATAAGTTGTTGCATGTGGTACGAATAAAATTGTGAATATTATTTAACAAACATATAAACCACAGAGACAAAAATGGTCTATAGTGCATGTAGTGCACGTGTCTCACTATCCTCCGTACAACGTTTTCCATAATGTCTCAAATACACACTTTTCAGTTATAGTGCAACATATCGTGCAACAACTAAGTCAAAATATTTTAATGATCAACTACAAATGACTCCTCCCCTGGAATTGTTCAGCAGTGTTCCACTCCCAGACTGACTAAACTCAACTCAACGATGATTGGTCCCTTTCATCTGTCAATCAAACTTCCACCATTGAAGTGTATGCATGTCTCATCATTATGTGTTCATGTTCATTCAAGAACCAAAGGCTCAGTCTGTTACACTTGGTTTTATTTACACCTCTGTATATGCAAATGAAGCAAACTTATTATGCACTCTTAGAAAAAAGGGTTCCAAAAGGGTTATTCGGCTGTCCCCATAGGATAACCCTTTTTGGTTTCAGGTAGAACCCTTTTTGGTTCCATGTAGAAACCTCTGTGGAAAGGATTCTATATGGAGCCCAAAAGGGTTCTACCTCGAACCAAAAAGGGTTCTTCAAAGGGTTCTCATATGGGGACAGCCAAAGAACCCTTTTAGATTCTATATAGCACCTTTTTTTTATGAGTGTACTGTACTCTATGATGTCTGCAATCCAAAATCAATCTCTAAAGCTCACAAAATTGATACCAGCAGACTGATAGCTTTATCACTGAGTAGGTGTCAGTATCTTCACAGAAGTTCCAATACGAATAAAGAATCCAGGATAGAATGGCTGAGTGAATGTGGTCTGGACTCTGTGGAGGAGGGTCACTGTGTCAGAGATGCTGTAGAAGGACAGAGTTCCTGCCATGTGGTCCAGGCACACCCCTATTCTGGAGGAGCAGGTGACATGGATATCAGTCCTGTTATTACTGTGGAAGAAACAGCAGCTGAATGAAGAGCTGTATAACCTCCAGGATTGATCATTACCCCCAAGCACACACTCATTACCATCTTCTTTCCTGCTGATCCCTTTATTTGAGACAGCTACATGAATCCCTTCCCCGCTCCACTCTACCTTCCAGCAGCAAGTTCCAGAGAGACCCTCTCTACACAGCACCTGTTGGTAGGAGGGAAATCTGTCTGGATGGTCAGGATAGGACTGGGCCTTATCACTCCTGGTCACCCTTCTGTTCCCCTCAGACAGACACAGGCTAGTATGTGCTGTATTTGGATCCAATGTCAACTGGCAAGAGTCTAAGAAGATGAAAAAGAAAGTGATACGCTTGTATGTATGCGTTTATGTGTGTGTATGTGTGTCTCATGCACTTCTGTTTGTTTGTTTGCTAATGTTTTTTGTTATATTCATTCCAAATACTCCGCTATTTCTAAGGATATAGTCAACAAGGTACTTGGCTATTTAAAAGAAAGCAAACAGACATGTTTGTGTTTGCCAGTTTACTCACATTTTAAAAACTCCTCTCTGGTCTTGGGCTCAGCAAGGTGTTCAATCTGAAATGTAGTCACTATGGAGACAGACTCATATCACAAACTATTCAGTTTCATAAACATTAACCATATACTTAAGACAAGATAAGATAGTACATTATTAATCCCCCAGAGGGAAAATTTGAATGCACCAGCAAATACATACATTACCAATAAATTCACCATAAAAACACAACAAGGGCACACAGACATTGAAAGCAGCACATCATCAATGAAAATAAAAAACTAAGTGTTCGTGTTAAAAAGCCTCATAGCATATGGTAAGAAGGATCTGCTGGAAACGTTCTGTTTTGGCCCTAGGTCAAATAAATCTGTCTGCCATCGCACTACGATGCTCCAGGCAGGTACTGTGGAGGGTGTGGCTAGTGTTGGCCTCTATACTTATAGCTTTTTGAGGGTTTCATGCAGTTACTATTAGATTTTATTTTATGACTAGCAAAAAAATATTATTTGGTCTTGAAATACAATTGACCAACCTTTCCCAAATATCTTGTCCATTTCCTCCTTGCATATGTCCTGTAGTCGATCTTTCAGTTAAGAGACTGATTTCTTCACATGCTCAAAAGAGACGCGTGGATAGACAATGATGCTGGGTAAGGCTTTAGATCCAGGAGAGACACAGAGAGACTGGAAACTCTACAGAGAGAGGGAAACAGTAGAAGGGATTGAGAAAGACAAAACGTTACTATAATTCAAGCACATTTCCATGGAAAATAAATCTAGAGATAGATGTACCTTATCATCTGTAGTGATGTCACCTGGAGAAAAATGGATGTGATCCTCTGTGTGTGAGAGCTGTTTCAGCTCAGCATCTCTCCTCCTCAGCTCAGCCACATCCTGCTCCAGTTGCTCCAGGAGTCCTTCAGCCCGACTCACTTCAGCTTTCTCCTGGGCTCTGATCAGCTCCTTCACCTCAGAGTGCTTTCTCTCAATGGAGCAGATCAGATCAGAAAAGATCCAGTCAATCT